AAATGGGCAAAAATTATTTGTGCATGCATCAACGTAGGTAACTACCCTTTAGACTCTTGGGAGGGAACAATGTGCCGAGTGATCATATATGACAGGTCAAGACTCATACTGATTAGGTCCCTATAACGGTCGGAGAAGTAGTTTTGCAAGAAATGATTGAGTGGTATTCTCTACTCTTAATTTATTTCGGGTGCGAAGCTCGACGAGAAAGAGTTGTATACTTAGTACGAGAGGCACGACAAGCGAGTCTCGACGAGTATTTACTGAGCGATAAAAAGTAAACAATTAATAATTCTTCGAGTAAATTATTCGGGTTCAGGCTCGTCGAGTGAAGGCATGTCGAGTGAAGGCTTGTCGAGTTATGGCTCTTCGCGTTATGGCTTTATGGTTTGTAATTGTTGAGTTAAGACTAAGAGAAGGTAATTACCTTCTCTTAGTCTTAACACAACAATTACAGTTAGAAGCTCGACAGTCTACAACACTCGGTTATTGTATAGGACAATCAGGGAGATGAAAGGGATCCAGACGATAGGCACCTCCAATTGAAATAGAGATAAATTCAAAACAGAGCAGAATATTACAAGTAGAAGACATATCAATAGTCTTTCGGATAGTCCCTGCGTGAGCTGGAATGTGTCTCCCGGCGAATTCGAGAAGCACATATTGCATTAATTTCGCTGAAAGCGCTAAACGATAGGTCAGTCCGAGTTTGCGAAACGTGCTTCCTGCAAAAGTTCTATTTTGTCGCACGGCGACCCGGTCCCTTTTTAAAGACACCGTTTTATTTTTATCGAGCAGCAATCCAGTTACCCAATTTATGATGCTATTTTAGATTCGTCGACAAGATTTTCAGTGTGTAATTAACTAAGGACAAAGTAGAAATATAAAAATGGGGATTTTGTTGCGCATGGTGACCTGCAAGCACGTAAATCACAGGCGTCCACCCGATTTTGTGACGTCACACAATTAGTAAATTGAAAGCTGAAGAGATCGTGTAGGCTCTTGAAGTGAGAGTGGTTGTGGGTACTCATCGAGGACAAAATCCGCAACACGTACCCGCAACTGAATGAAAAGGGAGTAATCCCGACGTGCTAGGCCAAATGCGCCGACTTGCTTGGCGATTGTTGTATTGTTAGTACAAGACTATACAACCGCAGATTAAACTAGGCCTTATACCATATAGCATATGTATAGCTCACTAATATATTCACATTCCTTTCCCTAATTAACATCTTTCCAGTTATACTCGATACTTGCACTCGGTTATCTAATGTTCGTTTCCTTATAATAATACATAGTTTCTAGATTTATTAATCACCACGCAAATGTTAGACATTACATTTATAGTACTTCTAGAAGGTCTGTCATTTAGCCGTATGTAGTTAAGGGCGCCTGTAAATGTACACTAGTTGTTTTTGTTCCGGGTCAGCAGATGCATTCTGCTATTAAGCTAGCAGACCATTACCTGATTTAATGGTTAGTTGTAAAAATTAGGAGACCGACAGTATTCCCATGACGCAATTGAAACTATCACGCTACCTGCACCTTCAAAAGTACACGCTTTTGCTCGCAAATGTAACGCGTACACGTAAATTAGACACTTTGAGTTTGTGTGGGTTGGTGATCACACCTGTACTTTCGATAAAGGACCCGCTAGCCAGCACTCACCTTCCGCTCACCACCACCTTGTCGATGTCAAACCCCTAGAATCGATTTTGAGGCCTGTGATGGCCTGGAACAACTCAACATTATCACGAATACTAATCTGCCCCCGCCCGAAAATCACATTATAAATTAATATTATTTGAGCTTTGTCCGTCTACCTTCTTCTCCAAATTAGAGAGATGCGGGATATGCAAGAGATTGCTAGAAAACATCGAGCATTGTGACCAGACTGATTGCACTTTCCACATCTCTTCATGGTCTCACAGACGCTTTAACAGCTTCAAACTGCGAGAATTTTTTCTGAGTGAAGGTAGAGGTAGCACATTGTGGTCTCCTCAAGAAACCTGCAGGACGGCCGCGGCCGCCCAGCAGGATTAAGGACATCGGCTGTGTCCTAATGGACCCGCCCGAAACAATTTTAAGTCCGACTTCCTACCCTTGACGTGGTGGTATGACCAAAGTGAAGCTTACCTCGCAGAAAACAAGCTACGAACCTTTCCTTTAAGATAAGCCATGTAGTCTCAAATTAGGACATGACATGAAGTTGTACCATTTCTCGGTAGCCTCGAACTGCTGTTTATAACATGCCACCTTGTTAAAATATGCAGGAGAGATCCACTGCTTGATTAGCTCCTGATAGGCTCTTATTGAGTCAATCGACCGTCTAGATTGGCAGAAATGTTATCGTTGATATGCCAGCGGCAGAGAAGGAATTCAGCATCAGGAAACACATTGTCAAGCGAGTTTATCGAGACTAATTCCCGATTAAAAACAAAGGTAAATGGAATTACCCCAGCTGCTCCAAAACGCGCATCACAAGCTGCACTGCCCACAGGTAATCCTCTTCTGTCCGTCTTTTATGAATTAGTATGCAAACGAGAACGTCTGGGATCTGGCGGTCACGCCTACAACGTGCATGAATGGCAGCCCAAAACGTTTAGTCTCGTAAGTTAAGTCATTCGACCATATTTTCCCGCTGAAAACTTGCTGTAGACTTACTTCGAGACAATGAACTGGTGCGTGAGCCTTTGTTGGTAACATAAGTGCTTGAACAAGGGGACTCGGTCTCGTTTTCCTTAAGGTTGTCCAGCTGCGCTTGGACAGGAGAGTGACCAGCCGAATTGCGGTCGCGCTCTGACTGAATTAAGCTGTACACATCAATAGGGGTCACTCTCACAGTTTGTCTGCGCTTTGTACTGATTACGTGCGCTGTTCGCAGCCTGATTAAAGCAAGCCTGATAACCTCTTTGCGTTGGGCCGGAAGTAGAGCGGGTCGGCAAAGGGTGCATGTTTGTTCTACTCGTTATAGAGAAACCGTTCACTCTGTACCAATTTGACGGCGTATGGTGCAGTTTAAGTTAAATCCTATTCCCCGGCTGCCACACACGCGTTTGCACTTTTGCTGTTCTGCTTCTTCCTTGAGCTGTTGCCGTAAACGTCAACTTTCACACGAACAGTAGATAACCACTGCTTTGATTCACCCTCTTTTTGAAACCCACCCGCTGAGTATACTTGATAGTCAAAACAAAGCTCTCATATTGCAGTTGGGAGTCTACTGTCGCACGAGCCTCGTCCAGGGTAGAAAACACACGCTCTCCAAGCTCTTTAAGTAGTTCCAAGTTGTTTAGGTTGTTCATTGCAAGTAAATTGAAGTGTAATGGAAAGTGAATTGCTGCCGAAACTTGGCGGCGGCAGATTGGTGTTTTCGTGATAAAATTGAGTGGTCCAGCCAATCACAGGCCTCGCAAATGAGCCTAGAGGTTCTGTATCGACAAAGTGGGTAGAGGTTAGCCAAAGGAAAGTGCTGGTTAGCGGCTCCCTTCTTTAATTGTTCAGAATCGGTTGAAAGAAAATCTGCTTGCATGTCTGTTCCGCGCTCCTAACCGAGAAAGTTGCCTATGTTGAGCACAATGACACAATTAGGCGTTCTGAGTCAGCAATATGTTTGCAGTTTTTTTTGCGTATCCGAATCGTAAATTCTGGAAACGTTTTTACTAGTTTTGAGGCTCCGTGTGGGCGTTGTGGAGGAGGACTTTTCAGACAAATTATGTGGTTGAGGAAGTTAGCCACAGCAGTTGATTTAACGGAGATTGATTTATAGTTATGGTACATAATCGTAAACCTATAGTAAAGGTGTATATGGTTCGTGCTATTGATTGGCATGGCGATGACCTCGATAATGATGACGTTTTGCCTAAATTCAAACACCCTTTACAATATTACACGAACAGAAAATTTTACATTCCTTATTTTTTGTACAGTAGCTCGATTATAAGATTGTATGTCACATGGCCCTTTACGGTGCACCAATTTCTAGCGAAATAAAAGTCGGATTAGGATACGAAAAGAAGAAACAGAATATTAGGCATAATCTTTTGACTGTACACTTAGAGAAATTATGAGGAGAAGTTTTGTAATATTAGCCTTGACAAACATGAAAATATCAGGTTTGGCGGGGAGGATGTGAATATCAGGTTTGACAAAGGGTTTCATGTCAAGCAAAAGAGGTGTAATTTATACCTTATAAATGTTGACGAATTATCAATAGTAGGCAAAAAATTATCCGGGACGTTCGCACATGCGTATAGGCGCAAGTGGTGGGGAAATATTGCTGCCAGTTTTACGGATGCATTGTATGAAAACCTGCCATTTATCGGCTTATCAAAAACGAACAGATGCGTCGTTGCGTCGAAAATGTAGCCTTTTTAAGAGATCTCACTCGACGGGCTATGGCACTTTTATCAAAAGCTGACGACGAATCGGTCCCTTAATGGTAAATGTCTTTTTCATAACTTTAACGCTACTAATGGCAAGGCATCATACACGAATTGTTAAGTACCGTTACTTTTTAATAACGTGCCAAACATATGCTTAGGTTGAAACAAGCACTCTCATATTGTCACGACGTATCGGCCATTGAATACAATTTCCTGTAGGCACGAGCGCACATGTCCCTGAGGTGGGTGTGATATTTTTCGTCGCTTTGACACCAGACTTTTTGCCGTAGTCGATCTGTCAACCTCTAGACCGCTCATCTTTTCATCGAGGCAAATGAGTTTGATTTAACCAGTAGCATTGGCTGCCAGAGTGAACGTCGCATAAACGAACGGGCTACCCCAGACTGTTTCGTCTCATTGCACCGCAAGCACGTTCACTGCTTCAGCTATTCTGTGGCTCAACTGGCAAAATGTCGTGTATGCAACGCTTCGGGCAAAAGATGTTTCGTTATGTTCACCCTATTCTCTGCACTGCGCGTAAATTACACACGCCTGCACTCCGCTCCGAGAAGAGCTGCGTAACTAGCTAGATCAAGCGCTGGCCCGACCGAAACTCACTTAGTTTCTCATCTGGTAATTGGTGGCGAACTCGTCGAACTCGCGAAGAAAGCGGCTGTCAGTCCACTCGATCTTTGCACCGTTAGCCAAATGCGTAGGAGGATCATCTACAGCACGAAGGGTACGATTCTGACATCCGTATTGACTCTCAATGCCCATCGCTGGGGCAGGCGTGTCAGGGACAGGGGTGTCAGGTTTGATGTCGGCGGGTACGACTGTCCCCTGCACCTGCGATTGCGACTGCGCCCCCTGAGTTGTTTGAAATCGGCACGCACTGCTTGTAGACCTGCCAGTTGATCTCATGAAGCGCAAGCCAGTAGAAACGAAGGGTGCATGCGCCTGAGCATCGGGAGAAGTCTACATTTATGCTGGCAGGATATCCAGAGCCGTACGTCGCAACACAGTCTTCCTGTCGGTCGACCATAATGTCGTCAATCCAGACTTCACACGGGCCATGGTGCGAGTCAATGAATCCTTTATGCTCCTCATCGTTTTGCCAGTTCATGACAGTGAGGCCGGACACATCGACTGGAGAAACGTCCGTGCGAGTGTTGGCGCAATCCGAAACTTGCTGGTCGAGCATATCTCTCAATGAAGCATAGCCCGCATTGGCAAACGACGAGGTAAAAGTGGCAGCGTTTGCTACTGGACTATCGTCCCACTTGAGACCATTAAAGGCACTGTTGACGTCGGCTGTAATGGTCTTAACGTACGTGGTCGATGAAGCAGGATCGATAAATTGAGCAGCTGGCTTGGACACGTATCCGTGGGCGTGGACAGAATCGAAGGCGACTGCCGTCATGACAGCTGCCGTGGATGCGGCGTAGATAGAGCAGTGCATTTCCCTTAGTTCTTGAAAAGCTGTTGTCCTTGTCAGTAAGCAACGAATTGAAAAATGAGTGGTGAAGAGGTTGAGCGATGTCAGTGGGGTGAGAAGCAACAGAACGCTCCAACTTGTTACACACACCTTTATTAATGTGCGAATGTAGTGGACACGAGAAGGCTCTACGTGCGCGTTAGAACATGACGAGCAGTATGCATGAGACCAGTAGTCGGGAATCTGTTTCTGATCACCATCGAGGCTCGGAGGAACGTCTCATCAATCATTCAGCTTTCATGCGAGTCTAAAAATAGCGAGATTCTGTCGACTTCGTTGTGACACCATTGCTGGCGGTTTCAACAGGAAAAGAGCACCGGCCGACACTTAACGGTCTCTAGGCTATTTGCATATTTAAATCTGATTTGGCGCTCCCAGGCACTTTGCATGCTTTTATCCAAACAGCGGCTTTACTGTTTCGTGGACCAATGCCTTTTACAGATGCCGCATCCGATAAGACGATCTGTGGAACTACTTAGGTCCTGCTTCGGTTCACGGTTGTAATAATGCGCCCTTATACTCCAAATGTAAAAATTTCGTTATGAGTCACCATGCCAACCACAAATTAACTATCTCGTTTTCTACGCATGTACGCTACGTGATGCTTGTTTTTGACTATAAGTGATTCGCCACCGCTTTCGTACTAAAATCTTCACTAAGATCCACTGGTTAACATGTGGGTAGCGATCACGGCTCATTTGTCAGAGCCGTACGAAAAGGTATTACCCATTCGGTATTACCCACGCACGCATCGCGCTGGTAGACTTTAAACAATTATTGAATTAATACGACCTGACTTGTATAGTTAGAAAATGTAAGGATCTGGTGCGTCAACAACTTGTCAGTCAAATCGAACTGTTGATAAAGTGGCTAAGTTGATTCCATATAATGTTGTGATTGCCGCAAGATATTCATGATGTTTTAAGTGAAGAAAGCAACGCTTGCGTTTTCGATCGATCCGATAATTATAAGTGGTTTTACACAATCATATCCAAGCTTCGTTTCAACCTCCCGACGAGGAAAAGTATGGAGGGTGTTAAAAGGATTATCCATACTAATACCGTGTGCTTTTGTGTGTGCCCGTCTTCGTTATCTCAAAGCTAATTCCCGCATTCGCCGAGAATAAATCGTCGAGCGATACCTTTTACAAAAACAAAGTTAGAATGTAAAACACTGAATACCCAACGGAATAAACGTGTACGAGACACCAATATTCCACATGCCAAGACTTAGCTGCGCCAATGCCGTATGGTCCAGTAGTTAACGGTGCAAATACCAGATCTTTCGACGTTTAAGATACGAACAACTTCAACGTTTCCACCACATATGTTATGCTCATCATGATTAAATATCGAGCAGTACAATGCACATTCCAAGCCAAATGCCGTTGACGCGCGTAGGTTGCTTTTAACGCCCCCTTCTTGATAGCGGCCAAAATTGACTTACTACGTACCATTTTCCAGAGATGCGTTAGTCTGGTCGTGAATGACCCGGGATCTTTACATCCATAAGGCCAGAATATTTTATAAATGTGCTGATCTCCTCGGTTTCGTTATATTCATAAGATTGTGATGTATACGAAGCAGAGTACCCACCACATCCTTCTGTTCGATTCCACACCCCTTTGCATCCACTCCAAGCGACCGCTGTATCTGTTTGTGTCCGCTGGTAGCAGGTGCAATGGTGTTCTGGTCAGCCACTGTATCGCGAACTCATGCGTGTAGGTAAATCCACATGTCAGCCTATCCAGCTGCAAAATTTATGAGAACGAGTTGCTACACCTAGCAGCCTTATCACACGGACATGCACTGCATGTGTGGCTGAGGGTGGCATTTATTTTGATCCGCAGATATTCTGAGATATCTTCGGCTGGAGACCGCCTCGCAGTTCGTTAAATACAAGTGGGAACCGACGTGTCGAATTAAGCATGACACGTCGCAGGTTATCGAGTTATTTATCAGCCTGGATAGCAATGCTACTCGATTTTGAGATTCCGGTCATCGAGCGGGGGCTTGCCACCTTATGTGACGGCTGTTTGGGCTGCCTAAGCTTATTTTATTAACATAACTAATAGTTTTGAATTGGCTCTGCTAAAAATTACAATGATGCAACTACGAGCTGCAGCAAAGCAAGAGTTTCGGTGTCCATCATGCTGCTTTCGATCGGGACCTACACATAGATGAACGCTGGTCGATTATCAATGCAAAAGAGCCGTTGGTTAGTACGATGCTGCTCAGCAAGTATTACTGTCGCGCCCAAATATTTGCATTTGCATTTTCTTGTTTCTTGTCCTGATAATTATGAAGCAGGCGTTATAAAACCACATTGAATATCCTTGGCAACTTTCCGCGCTAATTCTATGGAAGGAGTAGGTCTTAAACTACCAACGTATCACCGCCTAGCGGTTGATAGGTTTCTTCTCTTTCGGGCGTGACCAGTTGTTCTCAATTTTAAACAATATTCTTAGCAGCAAATTTAATTGCCGACGGTAAAAACAAATTCAGTTGCCGACATGTCTCAGCATGCGACCTCCGACAAACTCTACCCGTGAGCTCGTCTTCGTGTCTTCAAGTATTGTTGGCGTCTGTATCAATGCTGCGGCTCGCCGAGCGCTGTCCCGCGTTTGTTTAGAGGTCTTTTCAAAGTGCAGCGCACTTTTCGAGCTTGTTGAATTAACGAAACAGTCGCTTACTGATGCTGGAGTACGTGTGGTGTCGCTACGGAGTCATTTTGATGAATCTGGGATAGCCGTGATCAGTATAAGCACATAGCATACGATGCCTCTACACAGCCTGGAAAGTACAGGCTCAGCTGCTTTAGTGCAAGTAAATAACCAACTCACTTCTGAATCCCTGCATTCGCGTTGAGATGGCTCCATTTTTCTGATGCAAGTCGATTACTAATCTATCCCCGATAGTCTGTGGTCACGTTAAGATGGCTCCATTTTGTGTAGGAGCTTTTATGGTGGGAACCCAAAAATAAGTGAATTACCTGAAAAATAGATGTTAAGGCTTCACACATGTGGGTAGCCTAGCAAATTATGGTATATAGCTCCTGATTGTATTGTGCTTAATCACCAACGGATTTGAGTAAGCGCAATATTCATTTGGACAAACGGCATGTGATAATCTTGAAACCAAAATCGGGCAAATTACAACAGTGCAACCGTATTAATCAGTAGCACGCGATGCGTACATTCAAGTTACCATATCCTTGTCAATTTTGTATGTGCAGTCAATAAGAAGAAAAACGCGGTGCTTGTTCAACCATCTCCGTATAAACTACATTATTGGCTTAGGCTGGCAGAATATGTGCATGGCACTGTTGCGCAGGTCAGGTTCAACGTCATCATAGCTGGTTTATGTTCAAGCACTTGGGTTCAGATTTCTAATGCAAATAATCCATGCCGCTGTTTCAGCTTTTGCTGGTAAGATGTGGTACTGCGTCCATCGTCCTGACGGAATAGTCTTTTCAAAGGGACGCTCGACCTTATAGTCCCAGTTGCACCGATATCGTGAAGTTTTGAGATGTGTTCCACAACGATGATAGTTTTATGAGCCTGTCGAGCGGAAGGCCAATTCGTTTTTATGGCTGCGACATGGTGGCTTTCGTGCCAATCACAAACAATGTGGCTGACCTGCTTTTCATTTATTTAAGGAGGACGAGCACGCAAGGACAGCCCACTCTTTGTTGTCTTTTCTAAGAGGTGATATTTTAGAATACCGGTGCGATGTTCTCCCTGCGCACAGCGTATTCACACCTCAAGGACATCCCACTATTGTTTTATTTCTTAAGAGATGGTTTCTTAGAAGACTGGTGCGATGTTTTCCTCCCCATTTGTATGTAAAGTAAATTATCTCACTTTGCCGATGTACGCCAATTGTAAACCCTTTCTTACATGCATGGGCCTACCTGCTACATGATTTTGTTGGATGGGAAATAGTGGGAACCTGACTAGATTCACTCAATGGGTTTGGACGACAGGATGAAAAAGCTTAGACGGGTTGAATCTGGCTGTGGTACTGTAATTGTGTTGCCAAAACGAGGTCGTACCAAGAGGCCATGTTTTCGAAGGCTAAACCACGCGTGTATAGGCCATCAACTTGCTTTGAGACGAAGGAATTCTTTAAGCTTGTCAAGCTTCTATGATACCGCACAGTACAGCTAGTCTCGAAATGGGCTTTTTAGGTTTGATTTTGAGTTGACGCTTCAATATTAAACCCATCACGCCCTTTCCGAGTGCTCCTTTCCCGCCAATTTCGGTTCGGTACTTTCATGCTGTGGGGTAAATGTTTGATTGAAATTGGGTCTGGAACACCTCCTTGATACCATTAATTACCAAAACAACTTAGCCTTTAGCATCAATTCTTTCCTCCTACGTATTTGTGCTGCAGAATTGCAATAGTAGTCTGTAGCAAATTGATTGATAACGAATCGTTTAACCATTTTCACCTAAAGTAATCTATGCGCTACGTTATTGAACCAGCCATCGTCAGCTGTAGTCAGCTTACCAAGAATCGATTCCTTCAAGTGTACTCATCACATCAATCATGCTGGCTCAAATGGAAGCCATGAATCATAGGAAGGTCTACTTTATGCTTGTTGGGTTTTTGATATATTCACAGCACATCTCCTTAAATCCGCACCCTTTGCCAAACCTGATACATGCACTCCTTTTTGTCAAGTCTGATTTTTACACCTCTTTAGCCAAGTCTATACTCCCTATTGCTCATGCTTACTCTCTACATAAAACAATCTGAAGTTTCTAGATTTCATCACTAATATCAATTTACACCCTTGTTCTACCGAATTTCGCATCAGTGAAAAGGAGCGCCCATGTGATATGCTCTAATAACTGCGAGCCCGAAGAGTGAAGCTATTACTGATTGTGCGCAATACATGCCAACCTTTTTAAATCGTACTTA